GACTGCCTAAGTAGAAGGGTTAGGTTGATGGGTTTTGCCTTTGAAGATGCTGCTTTAGAACAGAAGCCAGATTTCTGAAGGCATTACTACACTCTGTCAGGGGTTTTCTCATGTGAGTTTTCCTTTCCAGTTTGCTGCATCTGCACAAACTTGACGCACGAGTGCCTGATGAACTGCTGTATGGGCGCATAGGATACCTCTATGCACTGGTCTTTCTGAACAAGCATTTTGGAGAGGAAAAGATCCCTCAGAGCCACATTCAACAGGTACCGTGTGACCACTCCAATTAAGTTTTAAGTAGCCTCCTGAACCCTTATTTGTATTCTGTCTATCCCCCTCCAGCACATCCTTGGGAGGATAAAAATAGATGCCACTCTAAATAACCCTGGTGTGTCTGAAAGCTACACCATGGTGATCTAGCTGCTCCTGGAAGTGCCTTTCATCCAGAGAAATACTGTACCAAATGCCCTTCTTAATCCATTTAAGTCTGTACAGAGTTAAAGAACTCTCTGTTCCACTCCCCCTTCCACAGCCTGGACTACATGCAGAATAACAAAATAATTTTGCTTTCTGAGCCTCCATGTACTGGCTCTGAGCTATCTCAGGGCAGTACTTACTCGCATCTGATTTTGCCCTCAGGTCTCCGAAGCAGTTGTGGCATCTGGTGAGAACCTGGCCAAAAGGAGGAACTTCACAGCAAAGAGCCCACTGATGTATGAGTGGTACCAGGAATATTACATAGGGGCAGCCCATGGCCTGGCAGGAATTTATTATTATCTCATGCAGGTGAGAGATTCCTGGAGGGAAAGATCCTTGCCAGCTGTTTCACGTCTGCTAATGCTCTTCAATTAGAACTTGGGACACCTAGCAGATTTCTGATTGGCTCTTGGTGATGTCATAGTCATGTCAGTCCTGCTGTTCTGTCTGGCGGGTTCACTCATTTGTTTGATTATGAATCCCATTTCAAAATACTCCTAAAATGGTCTGGACTGGGTGCTTCTAGGGCAGGGGATGGCAACCTATAGTGCATGGGCTGGATCCAGTTTGCCAAATGATTTCATCCACCCACAAAGCCCAGAAATTGTTGCCATCTGGGCAGCAGGGAGAGTCTGCTGCTTTCAGTGGCAGCCAGGTCACATGCGACAGCAGTAATTTGGCACCGGGGAGAAGCAGTGGCATCTGGGTCAGAAAGACCTGCTTCTCCTCAGACCAAACTGCATTATTTCAGCCCATAGCTCGGAAAGGGTAGCCAACCCCCATTCTAGGGGATTATTACACTCTGAAGTGTTTAATCATCTACTGTACCTATCCAGACCTGACTACATTGCCCCAGAAATGCACTGTGTCTTGTACCAGACCTAGTTCTGCAAAGTACTGAGCATCTTCAGGTCCCACTGAAGTTTATGGCTTACATGAAGTGGACTTCTCTCACCCTAGTATGTGCCTTGCATCTTTGGTCAGTGTTTCTGTGGAACTGGAGGATTTGCTGATCCTTTTAAAGTGAAACCCCCTGCAGCAAACACCTGGTGAAAGAGATTATTGCGGTGAAAGCGCAGAGAAAATGCCTACGGTTCCAAATCAGAGCTTGGATCCGAACATTAAAAGTGGGATTTTCCAAAGCAATTACCGTGGGCCTACTTCCACTCCCACCAGAGCCTTTGATAACCCACCCTATTGGTGTCAACAGGAGCAGAGTGAGGTGAATGCAAGTTGCTTTTGAAAATACAATTGTACATACTGGATATATTCCTAGTGATAAATTATTATCACCATCACCATCCCACCTCATGGGTATGTTTATAGTGTGAGGGAGTCTTCTCAGAGCTTGACTAATGCCAACAATTTGGAGGTCATATGATAACATCTCCTCTTTGAACAATATTTTTTTTTACCCCTGACATTTAGCTGTCAGTTTTCAGCAACTCGTTGTGTAGATCTGGCACTTAAAGGAAGGCAGGCAAGTGGAGTGGGAATGAGGCACAGAAATAGGAGCACCTTTATGTTCTCTGACCTCTGACTCTTTCTGTATGACTGAACCATTTTCCCTTCTCTGAAAAGAGAATAATGATCTTCTCCCACAAATAATTGTGAGAATTAGATTAACATTTAAGCTCTTTAAAAGTCTAAGAAAGAGCAATATTACCCTAATATTTTCCAAATGATAATAATTAAAGCTAAACAGTGCAAATAATTAAAACAGCTACCTAAACAACCTTCAGTGCCCATTGTAGTCTGGCTTCATTGAGGTGCTGTACTATGCAGAACAGGGATTTGGGGCTTTCATGCAAAAAAGGTGGTCACTTCCCTTTTAAAGTTTCAAGCAGCAGCTGGTCTACAAGTAATGAAGGAAGAGGCAGCCAAGCATAATACACCAAAAGTCTGAAGGGAAGTGTATCAAGGAGGGTACAAAGAAGGACGTCTGACTCTACAGTTCTTTATCTCTGGTAGTTTTACGGCACAGATATTGATTTTTAATTTTCAGGTTATGAATTTGGGAATGTTTCAATTCTTAGCTTCAGATGCTCATTCTTATGGTCTCAGAGCTGCCAAGTGAATACAGAAACTATATTTAATACCTTGGCCAGTACAGTGTAATTAAGAGAGGACATTGGGGACTCACTCCTGCTTCCATTGAGGTCTAGGGTGAAATGGCTCCCTTGTTTTTACCTTTGAAGCTGTTTGTACAATCATAAGAACTGTAATCCTACAGTTGGGCTGGTATAGCAGCTCAAGATATGGCTGTGGTGTGCTACCTGGGTGACTCTTAATCTGGTAGATCTCAGTGTCTGAAAGGCATTCATGTTGTTCACCCTAAATTTTCTTTGCCTGGATTTCATTCCTGTACTCCTAGTCAGACACCTCACAGACTTCTTTCAGTAATTCTTAATCTTCAGATTTGCCGTATAGGTTTTCTTCTTGCCTCTGAAAGGCCCAAAGACACCCTGATTTTGTTCCTCTTGCTGGAGGGTTAGATGTGCCAGGCAGTGTTGCTGCAGAGAGAGATGCATTGGAGTCTGACAAGAAGTGAGTCCTTACCTGAAGCACTAATCAGCTACTGTTCTCCAGACCAAGCTTTGTAGAGGCATCAAAACCAAGATACAAGCTAAAATGTTACAGCTGAAGCTGCAGGAAAAAATCTACTTCACCAGACTCTAGATCTTTGATGCACAAAATGCTTCTGCTGCCTAAGCTGACACTGCAGGTTGGATAAGGGAATAGCATAGCTGTTTCTACTTTTACAGTTTCTCTCTCTCTCTCTCTCTCTCTCTCTCTCAGTCTGGTCTTGGTGTGAGCCAAGTGAAGTTACACAACACTGTCAAGCCCAGCATGGATTATGTTTGCCAGCTGAAGTTCCCTTCAGGCAATTACCCACCTTGTATCGATGACACCAGAGACCTGCTTGTCCACTGGTGCCACGGAGCACCTGGTGTGATCTACATGCTTGCACAGGCCTATAAGGTACAGGACAACCCAAGAAGCATCCAACATGGAACTTGATCTGTAAAATACTTCTACTTGGCAATGCCCTACTCTAACAGGGGACGTAATATGAGAATGAAATTGCCGTTGCCACATGCCCACACCAACTAAAATGGAAATTAGACTTTAAAAAATGACTTCTGAAAACGTCCCAGTCACGTACTCTGAGTACAGGGCACTCCTGTTGCTCAAGGAGTCAGCCATGTGTTTTATTCGGTGGCAGATGACTAATGGTGACAGCTAGTTGTGAGTTAAATAATGGACATGCTGCTCCATTCATCACATTAAAAATCTTTGAAAGTAGAAGGCAAAGTCACAGCACCATTGCTTAAGTAGGAGAGGAGATAATTAGCCAGGGAGCATGGGCCTGCTCCCGCCCCAGCATGGATAATGGCAGGGCTGAGTGGCTAATTGCAGCAAAATGGAACCTCTCTTGTCTTCACAGGTGTTTGGTGACCAGCAATACCTGAATGATGCCCTTCAGTGTGCAGAAGTGATCTGGCAGTTTGGATTGCTGAAGAAAGGGTATGGGCTCTGCCATGGGACAGCTGGCAATGCCTATGCCTTTCTGACACTATACAACCTCACTCAGAACATGAAATACCTGTACAGGGCCTGCAAGGTAAGTATCTGGATCAGCAATACAGAGAGATGTTGGGTCATATTAAAACTAAATACCATACTTGTTGAGCAGTGACGTAGGTGTGATCATCCATGGATATAAAAGAACTGAGGTCATATAGTACCTTTCCTTGGGCCACCATAGTAGTTGGGAGAGATCAGAGAAGCTTTCTGGCTTCAGGCAGCCTTTCATCCAGTCTGAGGAGGAAGCAGTGGTAGTCTGAGCTGAACAGGAATTTTTACAACTTTTAACTTTGTACAGCTCAGTTTTCTTAAGTTATCCTATAAAAAATCATGGGAATATCTCCTGCTAAAGAGAAGAACCTGTCAGCATGGTGTCGGTTATAACTAGCATTCTGAAGAAGGTTCCCATGAGGAGATGATTTTCTTCTGCACTCTGTGTGATTGCTCTTAACATTGTAATCTTCTTTTTAGCCTGGCAGAGAGGCAGCTAGCACTATTACCAACTCATCTCACTTAACCAGCATGGTCCTTAAACAGAGTTCAGTCACTGTTCTTTACCAGCAGCACAGGGAGTAGCAATGTGATAGAGATACTTGTTGACCCTTCTTTAAGGGAAGCATATATCATGGAGATCAGAGCATAGTGAGGGGTGTTTTTTTAAGCTTACTATCACATCTGGTAGAGAGTCTGGAATCAGTATTTGTCCTTCCATAGTTTGCAGAGTGGTGTTTGAGCTATGGGCAGCATGGATGCCGGACTCCAGACACACCCTTCTCTCTCTTTGAAGGTAATCTCTATCCTGTCTCTGTTTAGTATTTTACTCTTAATATACTCTGAATCTTGAATCTGATTTATGTTGATGTAAATTGAGAATAACTCCCTTAAAGTCCTTTTAAAATCAGTGTTAGCAGAGAATTCCAACCCCCCCGCCCTTCATCCCCACCTTGTCTTCCCCCTCCCTTCTCCAAAGTGAGATATTAGTAGCAGAGAATAATGGGCACAGCAGGAGTTCCCTAGTCTGTTGCAGTCCTGGCTAGGAGGCCTGGAGGTTCACAAACCAGCAAGTGCTCAGATCTCATACAGTACACAATTCTCACAGGTAATTCTTTACTAACCTACAGTAATTGCACACTGGCTCCCCAGACAGCTTTTCTGCTCTGCATTAAGCAGTAAGCATCCAGATCTTTTCCCTTTCACTCCAAAGAACAATAAAGAAATGAACAAAAGAAGTCATTGATCTGGCCTTTGATTGGGCAACTAATGGCTCCCCTTAATGCAAACACCTCTGCTGCTCTGTAGGTGCTGCAGACACACACTGAGCCAGTTTCTTGGCTGACACAAGTCATCCTGGCTCCATTGGAACAAGGACAGTTTACATTCACTGAGGATTTAAGACAAAAATTTTCAAAGACACTAAAGACCAGATTTTTCAAACATATTTAAATGCTGAAACCTCAGGTACCTAAGAGAGTTTTCAAAAGTACGAAGGCACTTCTGTGCATTTTTCAGAGCCTGCACATCATTGAAAATCTGGCTCTGTCATTTTGAAAAACTGGATATAGGCTCCTAAATCATTTAAGTACTTTTGAAAATGTTCTCTAGCCCTCAGTCTTCGTGCCTCATTCACACTAGTTCTGATTTACTCTAACTAAATATTGATGCACTAGGGGAATTCTAATATAATAAAGGGTTTAGTCTGTCTGTCTGTGTGTCTGTCTGTCCGTAACGCTTTTGGCCAACTGCTGAGAGGGCGGGTGACAATTGGTTACATGGGCCCAAGTTTGAGCCGTGGCCGGGGAAGTTTGTGGCAGCGGCGAGCACACCCTAGCCACCCGAGCAGCAGGGCTTCCCTACGCCTCCCTGCCTGAGGATGAAGAGGGAGTAGGGAACAGTGGCGGCGCCTCCCCAATGCCTGTCCCTGACACCCCCCAAAACAGATGGCAGGGAGGGGGGTGTCACAGTGGTGGCTGTTGTCGGGGCCAGGCAGCAGGAAAGGAAAGAAGGGAGGGAAGCAGGGAGAGAATGGGGGGTCATGGTAGTGGCACCCCCCCACCACCTGGCCACAACAACAGCCAGCAGGGAGGGGGAGGCAGCAGGGAGGAGAGGGGAGAGGAGAGGCAGGGAATGCCCTGCTGCCAGGTGGACAAGGGAGGGAACCGGAGGCTGGAGGAGGCAGCAGCAGAGGGAGTCTTTGCATGGCCAGCCCTGTGGAGGGGCGCGGGGGGCCATGTAAACACTCCCTGAAACCCGTCATGCTTGATAGGACTAGCTAATTGTCCACTATAATACACTTGGAGCAGTAACTTTTTGTCTGTTTCTTCAGGAATGGCTGGAACCATTTATTTTCTTGCTGATATCCTGGTGCCAACAAAAGCCAAGTTCCCGGCATTTGAACTATAAAGTCCTTCCACGCATTTCCCTGCATGAATCTTACCATACTCCATGGCATTGGGACAAGTGGAGCAAACTTGTTCGTTCCTCTTTCCAAACTCAGCTCTTGCCTAACAGAGTAAACCAATCCTGTTGCTGACATTGTTTTTATTCTTTTCCATGCTGTTGTTTTTGCTTTGTTTAGTTAAAAAAAATTCTTAGCTCTTGTTGTTGGCCTCTAAGCAGGGTGGGGGGAAGGGAAATGTACAGTATTTTGTTGGATATACATACTCAGAGTTTTGCTATCTTATGTATCCAGTTTCCAAGGAGGAGAAAACATGTATTGGAGGTAACTTTCTCCAACCGAGTTTGTCATGACTATTAGTGATGGAAGCTTAGATAATATTGTCTTAGAGAGACAAAAGATAATGTGTTAAGACTGTTACCCTCTAATTTGCCCCTAAATATGTCCAGTCCAGTTATCCAGGGGGTCGGCAGTTCATAGCTGAGGTGCTCTTTGGGTAGGTAATTGTGATGGACTACAGAAATGGGAAGAGTGTTTATTTCTGCTTCCCTAGCAGACTGCAGGTGTCACAGCTATAACTGACATGCCAAAGTCCTGTCTTAGACTCGCACCTTTTTGCTTTATAAGCAAAGACTGTGTTTAGCTCTTTGTACTTATTGTCAGTGACAAATGGACAGATGAGTAATCCACAAGTTATTGTGCTTATCCACCATGTTACACTAACCTGTGCAGAAGTAGATCCATGAGTCACAGCAAGTTTCTGCTTAAAAGAAAGTTAATCTAATACTAAGGGTGATTGCTTCCTTAATGCATTAATTTTGGGAAGCTTTTGCAGTTTATTTAAATTTCAGCATAATGTTATAGGTCTTAGGTGGAATCAGGCCTGTCAACAAATGTTGCAGACAAGGAATTGATTCCACTGTGTTTTGTCAGTGTCAAACCTATTATTTATGTGGGTGCTGTTTACAGCTTTACAGGATTGTTATCCATCTTAGTTCTTTATCCACTTGCCTGATAAGTTGGTACCTTAGTAACCTGGCTCACTTATTGAACACTGTAGTCTGATATGTAAGTAAGAATCCACCCAACCAAAAGTTGGAAAATCTGCCTCAAATTAGCATTGTCCAGTCACTGAACAAGGTCCTTTGGTAGGTATTAATCAGCATCACTCGTTTCATGGAGGTACAATGATTAACAGCTGTCCCAGTAAACTCCTGATAAGTGAGCATTCTCCATGAGTGGTGGGAATTCTGGAGCCTGCTTGTATGCATTTCCATTGGCTGCTGGAGGTGACCTTATGGTCATCACCTTACAAAGCCACAGTCCTGAAGAAGGAGGAAAGTGGTTTTGTTCTCTCAGACTGCTGGCAGTGAGTAGCTAGAATTGCTACTAGTACCGAACTCTGCAGTTGTCATACACTATGTCTGCACAGAAATCAGAAAGGTGAGTGCAGCCCATGGAGGCATACCTTTGCTGCACTTAATGTACAGTAGCAAAACCATGGTAGCACAGGCTTCCAGGGGAGCTTCTCTTTCCCACACTGAGACCCATGCTATCACAGGTTTGCTACTCGGGGTGCCCAAGCTAGCTAGATGCCAGCCAGCTCACCTGCACTGAAACATGCCACAGTCAACTGAAAGATCCATAAACAACCAAATTGCTTGAGCTAATAGTAAACCATGTTCCACACAGATTCCTTCAGCACCACAGGCAAGCCTCACAGTGTCATTGACTTTCTTTCTTACAAAGGGATTCAGCACTAATTGTGCAGACAATTAATTAGAAAAAATTAAAACACAATGAAGCTAATCTGCTTTTGGCTAGGTGTCCCTGCTGAAAGCATCATGCTCCTTTGGACTAGCTAAGTCTCTTGCTGCTGCGTTTCTGAGCATTACACGCTAGACTGAGTGACCATAAAGAAAGCATGACCTCTGGGGAGGAGGATTTGACTAATCACATAGTTGTAGGAAGCACTGTAAATTAAGCCTAGCTGTAAATTAACTTACCTCTTGTCTGAAGTGGCAACTGAATTGCCACTCTTGTTGGGACATCTGGATTTCTGCTGAACACAGTTTCTATTAATGAAAAAAATTGTACAACCGATTGCATGGAGAACTCCAGCTGCATGTATTCTACTGCGCTTGTACGTGTATTAGTTGAGCACAGCTAGGGGCACGTACAATTGTTAGGTGGAAAGCTGTTTAATAAAACACAAAATAAACACAGTTTGGGTCCTTTCTTCATAAATTTATTCATTGCTTATACCTAACATCTATGCCTTGAGAGGGCAGAGTGAACTGACAGCAGCTGTGCCTCTGCTTAGGGGGCACCTTAAAGGAATCAATTGGAACTTATTTGTATGCTGCTAAATATGTGGATGGGAGGCCTGCAGAACTGAAGGCCAACTCTGTTTTCGTGGAAAAGTGTGAATGTCTTAATGATGCTGGGTAACTCCCATCTCCCATGCCCTCTAGCTGCATCTGTTGAAAATGGCTTTATGGTAAGCCTACAACTACCATGTTCTTAGCTCTCACAATTTTCTCACAGGTTTTACTCTCTTCCCCATAAAACTACAGCTCCTGGAGCTGAGAAATCTCTGCTTTCATATAGAAAAGATTTCTAGGACTCATGTGGAGAAACCTATAACCTAAAGCTCAGAAGACAAACAAACCCCCCCCCCCCCCCCAAAAGGGTTTTCAGATCTTATGATTTCAAAGCAAGTCTCATGATTTGGGGAGAGGTGCTTCAGCTCTGTATTTACTGAAACATTTCTGCATTGCCAACAGCATGAATAAAATAGAATACGCAGTCTGCTTCTTATCCATAGTATCTCCATGAACTTCGACACAGGTCTCTTGTCGCTGCTGCTGATGGCCCAACTGCAACTTGCAATAACCATTTGTATCACTCTGGCTATAAACAGACATCATCCTTGGAGTGGATCAGCCTGCCAAGGGCAACTGGAGAACTCAGGCAGCTCTGGGCTACCCCTGCTCTCCCCCAATAAAGCAAACACATCTGCTGAAAAAAGCATCAAATTTCTTTACTGCCTACCATCACAGCCACAATTTGGGGCATTTGTGGTTTGACAAGGGACAGGGACTTCTGTTTGCTTGGGCTTTGTGTCACCATAAAAATTTTCACTGTTCTCACTTGCTCTAAGACAGGCCTGGCTTGTTCTTTTGTGATTATTTTTTGGCTATTGCTTTTTGCCATTTAAAATTGGGGGAGGAGACAGCTGAGTAGCTTTAGTTATCTCACTGAAGAACAAAAAATGTTCTGGGGTCTTGGCTTGTCACCGCACAGCATTTTCTGCACTTCCATTTGTGAAAAGGGCACAAAAATTCACTGACAATTTAAGGCATTTTGCCCTATTTTGTCCTTTGCAAGACAATCTCATTTCAATACTCTCTATTCCCAACCCCTGTGACTTTCACTTAGGCTAGGTCCACACTGTCTCCAAGCTATGTCTGGGATTGCCATCAAACATACCCCATCCACTTGCTCTGGCTCCATGCCTGACAAAACCCAAAAATGAGGCATTGAAACTGGGTAAGAGTTTCCTGACCACAAACCCCACTACTGCTCTCTGGCTTCCAGTTTTGGGCACCCTTGACATGCACTCAGGGCTGCTCTGCAGTGACCACTGATTTCCAGGCAGGACAGAGTGTGACAGGCAGGTTTCATGGCACTGCTCCCAGCCTCAGATTGAAGGCAATAGATATGAATTTTGGAATCTGGTCCTGAAGTATTTTATTCCATTAAAACTCCCCTAAATGCAATATTAATCTTTAGAGAAAGTCAGAGCTTGCCTAGATACTCGTAAAAGTACACTATTCTCTTGAACATCCTATTGCCATTCTCTTAGGGTGCCTGTACACAACCGTGGAGGCTGCTTCAACGTGCTGTAATTACAGCATCAGAGCAGACTTGATTAATCAAGTCTGCCGGAGTGTGGTAATTACCATGCTCCAGCAGCCTCCCATGTGTCAAGTGTCAGCATCCCCGTGCTTAAATGAGCTTTAGTTCAAGTGGCCCCGCTGCCATTTTGAAGCACGGGGACACTGATACTCGAGATGTTGGGGTGCTTTAATTAAAGTGCTGCCCCCCTCACCCACCCTCCGGAGCATGTGTAAAAGTGCCCTTAATGTTCAATGTTTAGAACAAGTATAACAAAAGAATGGAGAAGAATTAAAATAATATTGGATATCTTGCTGACAGCACTTCATGTTCATCATTTGCACTTCCTGATCCATGTGATATTGTGACTGTGGCAGGGCACTGTTGGGGCCTGCCACTTTAGGGGCCAAGTCAAGCAGCCAGCAGGTGTTTGATTGCGGTGGGCATTTTAGGACCATGGCCGCCTATATAAACAGAGCAGTTTGCTGCTGGCAGGCAGGAAACATTGCCTGGCTGAGCTGCTGTATGGGAACATCTACAGGTAGTAGCAGGAGGTTCTTGGTCCTAGGCATGACCTAAAACTGCACGCTGCCTGGTGTGGGTGTCCCGGTGGGGCTCCCAGTGGCACAGGAGCCTCCAGGAAAATACCAGACTAGTTACCACCCCAGAGGAAGGTGGGTTGGGGCACCCCCAATAACCCCTAGCCCCCATATCACTGTGGGTAGCAGTTGGGCCAGGCAGGGCTATGGCCACCTGAGCCCCCACTGGGCAGGGAAGCCCTGTAGCCCCAGTGTGGGGGTAGAAGATGTGGAGCCCCAGTAAGGGTAGGCCCCAGTGAGGGTGGAAACCAGAGGGGTGGGAGCCCGGTGTGTGTGAGTTTGTACAGAGTTGCCCTGGGAGGGGCCAGGGCAAGTTGGCCCTGGTTGGGTAATTGGCTGGCCACTATCCTGGTGAGGGTCGTGGGAGAGGCTCAAAAGACGGTACGTCTGCCACCCAAGGTATTCACTAGATAAAACCTATGGCCAAAGGGGCCCACTCCAAGAGGGAGCAAGGCAGCATAAGTTGTCAATGCGTGAAAGAGACCCTGTGAGAGGGGGTGGAGTGTGAGAGGCGTGTGTGTCTGAGGCCTGACAACGAGGGCTAAGCTTGGATGTGTCACCTAGATGACAGAGCTGCAGATAGTGTCCCCTGGCATTGGGGCAAAAATGGGCAGCCTCCTGCCTAATTAGAACCAATTAAGAAACGATAAGGCATAGCAGGAAAGTGAGGTAGGTGGTTGGCCGAGAAACAGGTGGGTGCGCCAATGGCAGACCGGCTCTGAGAAAGCCCCCTGTTACAGTGACATTGCTCATATACTGTGCGAAGCATACCCATGCAATCTGTCCCATGGTCTGCAAGAGAGTGCTTGTTAGTCACAACAGCAGCTAAAACTAAAGAGACAGCAAGCGGCACATGCACAGAATGGAAGGGGTGAGAAGCAGACCTGGGCACATTCGCTGTGTTTCCAGGTCTGTCAAAAATGCTGATCCAGTTTGTTCAGAAAGAGAACAAAAGACATATATTTGAAAGAATCATTTGAAGGAAAACCATGAACTTTTAAAGATGAGTTAAAAACCAACAAGAATATCCCCTTAAGAAAAAAAAAAAAATCTGTTACCACTTTCCCTTTACCCTAATTTCATGTTTGACTGATGTGACTGACCCCCAGCTCTGTCAGTAAAATGAAAGATGCACCCAATATTATTACCCAAACAGTAGCTCCAGGTATCCAAATCTACTCGGGAACCATCTGTAACTTTAGCTCCCATGAGTTGACAACAGGCACAATTAGGAGAGAAATGAAATAAAGATAGGGGCATTGAGAAAAGACAGATCTGTTATTGCTGCTCATGGCCAACTAGTTTAATTTCCCATTTCTGCATGATATTAACTTTTCATATGCCCACAAATTACAATCCGCACTGACACTAAATCTGCAGTTAATGTTCTACTTCTACACAAATAAGCATTAGAAATTGTTGCAAGGCACTACATCATTATGCAGTCAAATGCACGGCTCCTTTGATAGATCAGTTTATAAACTAGCATCACGATCATTTAATATATTTTGGGTGATGGAGCTTGACTCTCTTTGAAAATGCTTAAAACTAAAATGATCCACAGCAAACTTTGTGCCTTCAGTTTTGTATAATTGTGTTAGTGCATTTATCACTATGAATTATGTATCGCACCCAAGAAGGCAATGTTAAAAGAACACTACGAAGGCTGCCAAGTCAAGCACTTGAGAATTAGGAAATGCCAGAATTAGGTCTTCCTGTGCAATCTAAATTCTGACCCCTTGAGCATACACAGCATGATATTTTAATTACATGATCACGTACTGTTTTCCATAAGATTCCTGCCTCATTCATTACCCAAATACACTCAGAAATGAACCACTATTGTATGTAATCTTTGCTGTTCAGTAAGTGCCCCCTTTCCCTGTAACTGCACACCATTCAAACCCCTGCTATGATGATTAGTTTCTTGGTGCTTATGACTACAGTATCTCATTGCTTCACATTGTTCCTCTTGAGCAACACTCCAAGAGTGTGGTATTATTTCTCCTCTATGGATAAAAAGTTTAGATACAGAGAGATTAAGGTCCACGGTCCACTAGTTTGCAGTGTCCAATCTGAGATGGCATAGGACCTGATTTTCAGAGTATTGCACTCTTTCTATGTTCAAAGCTATTCTTGACCAAAAATTCCAGCTGTGAGTGCTCAGCACTACTGCAAATGAGACCTCATAGTCACAAAATGGGCACTCATACGATGAGAAACACACAGCTGGCCCATAGTTTTGTCTCCTTGCCCAGCCAGTCCCAGTCTTCCCCAACCTGGCCTTGTCCAGTTTCAGTCCCCATAGCCCAGTTCATATTTCCAATCTCTGCCATCACTTTGCCCTGCTGCTAGCTCCCAGGTCCAATCATCATTCACTTCAAGGTCTTTGTCCCAATATACCCCGCCTTGAACAGTGCATGGAGCCCGTGCCCTGCTCTCCCATCCCTCACTATGCTACTGTCCAGCTCTAGGTTTTGTCTCTTCTGCGCGTCTGTGAAGCAACTTTCTCTGCCCAGCCTGGGTGTCATAGGCAGTGGTCCCCCTGCTCTCAGTCCTGGTACTTGGTGCTACAGCTCCCAGAATAGAAATTGTACAGAAAGTTTTGCTTCTGCAGCCCTGGGCTGGAATATGCTCAGTGCAGATGGAGTTTTTGGAGACTTTGGCTGCCAAGCGATCACATCTCTACCAATCATTTGTAAAATGAGATTTTTCAAAGGCTTATA